GAATAGTACAAGGGAATTGCACCATCCAACATATTCGAATCAGGGATAAAACTTTCTCATTGCATAGATAAGTCATAAAATTTGATATTTCTAGTGAAAATAGCTCTTGATTGATTACTGAGCAAAGACAAACAGCCACTACGTAATTTATACCATAAGTGATTATTTTTATACTGTAACCCGGATTCCTACTCTGGATTTCACTGCATGTGGACTGCTTGTATTTGTGCCCGTAAAACTAATGTCTCGTGTATAATTAAGCTCTCAACCGATGGTCAGAATTGTGTATACCATGTGACCTAGTGAGACTGATTTAATGATATATTATCGTATTTCGTGTCAGAAGACAAAACTGAACTTTTTCAAAATCACATCGAGAGGTTTTAAGAAAAATTCTCAAATAAACCGTATAGTTCACACAATGACTAATGAACTTAGGAGAATATCAGTAGTTCTGGGGAAAAAACACCTTACGCAACTCAACTTATAAACTTTAGGACTTTACTCAAGACATCAACAATCCACATTGTAGTCGTTATAACAAATTTAATTAGTTGTGAAAATAATTTTTATTATGTAATATTTGACATGATGTTGATAATCAAAAGTTGAAAAATTATGGTCAAGAGATGAAGTATATCATACATTTATTTATTTAAACACATAAACACTGTTCAATAAGGCACCAAATATATAAGCGCTACACTTCGCCATCCGATTTGTGTGAGAGAAGGAATACTGGCCGAGTGACCGAACCGAAGCAGGTGGTTTTCTTGGGGGCCATATCACCAGTCTTTCACCTAGAGGTCTAGTGCACAAAGCAGTGGAGCAACGTTAGGAGATGTAATTCCGCGGTAGCCGGTGATCAACAATAGGTTCATACGTCATTCGTTCCTTCAGAAGCCTGGAACACATGTGCGTCATTGGTTTGGAATCAGGATTTTCCAATTCCTCTAAATGGATCCTCCACATCCACCAACCCGGTTAAAGCGCTAGACATTCGCCTTCCGTCTTCCCGATTCCGTAAACAACAGTAATGCTACGAGAAGGCAGTGCACAGGACTTCTCTGGCAGTGGCTGTATAGACATGGCCGTGTGAGAGGATTTAGAAAGGGGGAACTGACTCTTCCCCCCTTGGCCGTATCAGGGCATTTGAATATTGTTGATGGAAAATATGATTGGTAAAATATTGTCAATAAGTAATATTTTAACACATCAACTCATATTATGACAGATTGTTTAGTGAAGAATATAAATAGGGAAAGTGAATTTACCTCATACTCAACAACTGATTATACAAACTACAGATCGATTAACGTTTAATACAACAACAATAATGATAATAACAGATCAACACTATTGAGATGGTGAACAAGCAACTATAGTCAAAGTAATGTATATCATATTCAACACACAAGGATTAATATTTATTTATATTAAGAGTGCTATATCTACAATACATGTTAAATGCAATTTACAATCTAATTGAAAATTAGTTGTTAAACCGATTTAAAATAAAGAAGACTTAGTCCCATTTAGGTTTAGGTCATAAACACGTGATGCATCAATCTTTTTCTTATCCACATATAATCCACTTAAAGCAATGAGAATTATCTTAGATTTCACATATATTGAATTAATAATAATATTATTGATAAATAATAGGGCTTTCTGAAAGGACCGGGTATGCTGGTGATAATAAGGCTAACTAATACTTCTAACACTACCACAAGGAACCAACACGTACTTTTTCAAAGCTATCTAAGCAACTTTCGAGATATTGATCAAATGAAAGTTGAAATTGTCAGAGAAACAGACCTTGTATCAAGATAGGAAGTGATCTCAATTCAACTCACCAAGTACAAATTTATAGATTTATCTTTAAGCCATACTATATGAATGAGGACTAATCATATCACCTGGTTAGTCAAACTGAAGTGAGTAAGACGAAACTCGAACCTGTCACCTAGTGGTTGAAAATTGAATGTCTTCACCATTAACCCACTATTCCATTAGGAAATGGAAAAAGGGTAAGAGCTATTTTACAGTTGTCGTTACGGTATAAGTTATAGTTCTTTTTTAAAAGTACTTCTATAGTAATGATATTCTTTTAAAAATCTGTTTTAGAAATAAAAAATCAATAGGCACAATGCGCTCTATACCCAACCATAACAGACAAATACAAGAAGGGATACAAAAGTGAGTCGTCTTAAAATACTACAATTTACGATTGTTATTATAGACGAAATTCACTGTTATTCGCTCGGTACGAAACAGTGAGGCCAGTTTAAAAGATAAATATCCCATTACCAGATTATTTCGGTTTGATTATGAAACAAGTATTTGTGACAGCGGCACCCAGAAGGAAGTACGTCAAAGGAGACTGATAGCAGACCACAAATTATATTAATGCATATTTCATGGAGGACGGATAATTGGAAAATATTAATATCTCCTGGTGTAAAAGTATAAGTATACTAACGTTTTTTTATTGTGACTATTACTCCCATTCAACTCCGTTTAGTTGGAATATAATTTCGCTCCTGTTCAACCATGTTCTGATTTGGGGACCAGTTGAGTGAGGCAAAGTGCCTGAATACTAAACAACAGGAGTAGTAGCATTGTATGAAGAGAGATCTTAACAGACATACTGATAACGTTGTTAAGTGTGAATCATGTGAACGTATACAAGTGTGAAAATTGTGATGAATATAGAGTCCATGTAGGATATCTGTAGATCTACAAGTTCAAACCACTGGTATAGGTACCCTCCAAGATGCTTTACGAGCAAATAGTGTATGAACCTATGTTGACAACCTGGTACTAGCCAAATTAATCCCTTGACATTGTTCCATTACCTTGTTAGTTGAAGCTTTTGGTCAATAGATTAGAGGTTCCAAAAAAATATTCTGCTGCAATTAAACGCTCAGGTAATGTAAAGTCAAGTGTTGTAGCAGACGAGATGGACCCATGTATGATAAAAGTCATAATTTTTTATGCCAACCTGAATCACAATCAGTGTTGTTGCAAAGTTTGAACACACAATTCTCCAATGTGATTAATTTTATCAAACCTACTCTTTGTGAGAAAATAATGCTCTTTATAATGATAATGTCTTTATGACCATATGTATTCCCCGAAAATCGACCACAGTCGTCCCTGAAGCTTTGATGAGACATAGAATTTTGAAGTGAGGCATTGTTGTGGAAGTTTTGTATTTCCTAGCACAATGTAACTTCCTTGATGAGTTACTAAGTTTAACATAACTCGGTGGTTTGGAATGTCATCAAACATGAATCAGCATAGAAGCTAGTAACCATCCTGTTGTAGTTTTCCAACGTGTTGGTTACAAACCAAAGGATTCGCCTTTCAACTTGTTTTATTATTGTATCTATTACATGTTTTAACTTTTTACTTCTGTGTGATATGATCATTAAGTTCTTTGACGTATTTTTTAGGTTCCCTGCAGTTTACTAGTAGTCTTTTTGTGTTGTAAAATAAACGTTACATCCATTCTTAAATTTATTTATCTATAATCGATAAGTGAATGGCAAATTAGACCTTAGAAATTAATAACAGATAAGATAAAAATATAGGAAAAACGCTAAAATCTAATATATATAAATCAATGGTGAAAGATGTTGGTCAGTAAATGTAGAAAAAGAAAATTATCGACTAATACGTAGCTAGTTTAAGACTTAAGGTGTTAATTCAAACGATATAAACTAGACTGTAAAATGTTTTGAGACTGGTCTCACTACATTCAACAGGTGTAATAGTATTAGGTTAAGGATGTATTATATTTAAGAGAACAATAAATACCATTGAAAAAGTCTATAAAAACACGGGCATGATCAAGAAATGTATTCCTCTCGGAAAAAAATAAACAGAAATAAGTGAACGGTTTTATTTAATTTACTCTACACCCTGAAAACACCCTTGATATGAATATGTGATCCTAATTATACATTCAACCCCTCAAAAGTATATAGTTGGTGAAAATGCAAATGCTTGCTTCATCCCAGTTAAGAACACTATGTAACCGTACACAGACGCTATTTCATGAGTCCTTTAGTAAATAGTATAGTTCTCAGTAGGATAAAGACTAGATAATACGAAAATTATTACTTAATGGTTGGTCAATGTAAGCATCCCAATCCCGAAGGTCGATCATCGTCTGGATGACTCAATGATGTTGCTGGTTATAGGAACGTGTGACGCGTGTTTAAGTTACCAAGGATACCAGTTTCCATGAGATCTTAAGTGCTTTTTTTCATGAGTATGAGCTGCAATTGGTGCAGACCGAAAATCTGACAAACTGACTTATCCTCCTTGTTTAAATCTTCTCATTATGAATTTCCTCAACCCTAGACTACTTCAAGTTAAAATAGTCAGTGTAACAAAAATGTAAGACGCATCAAATGACTGAAAAGGCTAACGGAACTCTATGCGTTAAAACAGATCCTGCTGAAAGTATGAATTGAGGCCTATGTATATCACTAGTAAGTTCTGAAGTTAACAAGGATCTGAATACTAGCCAAGGACACACTGAAACGCATTTTTAGTACTATAAGCAGAAATATTAGAAACAATAATTATTTCTAGGTAATCTGGAGCATAAAAAGTGACAAATTCAAAGTATTCTGCAGACGCAAGTCATATATAGTGACATCGTGAAAATGGAAGCCGTAACATATCTACCCTTTAAGACTGGAAAAACTTAATTCTACAGGACGCTATTAGAATCAAAAAAGCACTTTGATTTGAGGCGTTTCAATTTCCATCAGGTATCAAATATTTTAGAATCCAGTTATGTCAGTTAGCTACTCCCTACCTTTGAATTAATTACTGTAGCTTCATTGGAAAGCGGTCATATATAGATACATAAAAAATGTACTAACAACACACTAATATAAGTTCTTACTACTATAGAGTGAGTAGCAATTAGTATGTTACTAAAAAGAATATTGGTATGCAAAAATAAAGGCATGAATACCTACCATTATTGTGCAAAACTGGTCTTTGAGAAGAATGCAATTTCATACCTCTAGCACTTTCCAAAAGATTTAAGCGACGTAGACAATCAGCCAAAGAGCTTCTTAGACAAGCTAGTTCATTGGCTTGTTCAGCACTTCGTTTTTCCAAATCTATAACACGGTCCTGGAGACCAGCATTCTCCAAGTTCATTAATTCAACTAAATGTTTAAATTAAAAATAGAGCTATGAATAAAAATGATCAAATCATCTCAAAGTGCTTGTTAATTCAGCAAGTCACATACCATTAGCATAACAAAAAGAATAACAACCAGTATATCACAGAAGTTACAGTAGTTCATATCCTGATGTACAAGGTTCCTGGAAAACTTTATGAGTGAATAACATGGATCTCATATTCAACCACTAGTTCGTGCAAAACTAGGATGTTTGCAGTTGAGCTAGTACCTGTAGGAGTACAGGAAACGAAAGATTGATGCACAGACATCTTATCGTGGAGAAGTGAATCAGTGGTTAAGGCGTCCGACTTTTAGTCACTAGGTCATAGGCTTAAAACTTACTTGTTTCCTTCGATTTTAGAAACCACATAGTATCCCTAGCCCTCACACTACGTTGCTCAAAGCTACTTTTACGAATCTGTATTCCGTTAATCTTGTTTGGCACATACATATCTGGTGTCCATATGTACCATATTTTGTGTTTTAAATAAAAGTTCACCACTATGATTAAGAGAGATTATGTAAATATCGGTACTTAGGTCTTGTTTAAGTTAAAAACCAAACATTTACTTATGCCAGTATTTTTGCGACTGGCAGGGAATTAGTTAACTAGGTTATGCAGCTTGAATGTCCCTATTGTTATTCCGTTTAAGGAAATATTTTGTATGTCCCGTCGACTAATTGCTAATTCATGTGCTCTAACAAAAACATAATTAGCTACAAGGAATGAAGCCGTGTGAACAAGAAGCTGAAAAGTTCAGTACCTTTATGGAGGATATAAGCACTAAATCGTTCGAACAGATCTAACCTCAGTGCTGTTAAACCAAAGAAAGTGATTATTTCATACAAGTTTGTTCCCAACAGAGTATATGTATCATTTACGTTAGTTTCTGTATTGCTTTCGGATGAGTCTGGTGTATAAAACACTCAACTGAAACAGTGCACCTAAGGCCTAAAACAATACGTCTTAGGAAAAATGCGACAGAAAGTAGTTTCTAGAAAAGTGAACTTCGTGGAGTAAATTTGAGTACATTTTTAAGGACCTATAACTCGTACGAAATATTGGAGAAATGTAAAGTTTTCCACAGGCTCAGAGAAGCCGGTATCTAAATTTCCAACCTACTATTTTTCGGGATTTTATCACATATTTCTCAAAAATTATACAGTGAACCCCGTAAACCTGGTTTTTTTCACAGTGCAACTGGTAGAAATACGATTAGAGCTACATAAACACCAATTCACGTTAAACCTAACCCATGTTACTTGGGAGGAAACACGTTTTTACGCGCTGACGATAAAATAAATGAAAATAACCACACTAACCATGCATCCCTTAGACGTTCTAATGTAGTTAAATTAGTTGCAAGGTCGTAGGTTATTGTCCTTGGTATTTTAAAACGATCGTAATGAGTGTTATTCTTTATATAATAAAGACAGGTTTATGATTAGGTACAAAAAGCAGTAATAGGCTCCTCGAATGTATATGGTATTATCTGTATATTTCAAATTTATGTACAAAGTCTGTGTGTCGAGTGATTTTTTGTATGATCACTTCTGTTCGTTTTAGTATTGTTTCACGTCATTGATGACGCCCGACGAGTCCATTGTATTCAGCTAACTTTAATTGTTTTGGTCATTTCGGTAGTTATTTTGGTTCTGTGTGGGTGAGTTTGCGTCAGGATAATAAGGTTTCTGGAACCAGCAATTATTACATCACCACGGAGATAATTAGTTGACCATAGTTTAAAGGGTAAGGAAATAAAATATTTTAATTCGATCACTGGAAATTAGTAACGCAAACAGTATGAACACCCAGAAGTGTAGGAATAATGCATAAATGAAGATAACAGACAAGTTGCGAGTTATGCATCGGATAAGGGTATATCTAGTGGGAAATGGTAATGCATGGGTTAGCATATCGCTGCATCAGGTCTTTCCTAAGACTATACGCTGGGGGGTCACAGTCACTTACTTAAGATGACATCACAGATGGGTACAACTAATGAAAAATATGTGATTACGACTGGGTTTTCCCCCTTTGATATGCAATTTCTCAGAGGCTTCCTCTGGGAGAACCGTATCACGTTTGTCAGAGTACGTAGTTGTTATGTCATCTGCCATCATTGTGTAGCTTTTTACTTTCCTATAGCCCAGCCTGAAGTTTCAAATATTGAGGTATCTCTCCTCGATACTAAACAAATCTGAGATTCGCTCCTTAGCCTTATTATCCACATTTCCATTCGGCCCTATTTGTTTTGAGAAAGTCATGGGTTGGAATTTTTTAATAAACGGAATACACCCATTATGACATTAAGTAAGAAAGAAAGATTAGTTCAGTGAAGAGTTCTCTTTTCGGCGAATCCATTTTCAAAGCTGTACAATCGCAAATATATATACTTATTTTTACAGGGTGATAATAATACTGATAATAAACTTCTGTGATACATGGTGACAGTGAGGTTAAATAAACAAAGGTAAAAAAAATTTTAAACAAGGAAAGTTTAATAATCGTTTGATAGTTAATGGCCGAAGTATTAATTGGGTAAGGAGGGCTCAGCATGATACAATAAAATGTTGAAACAGAGATGAAATGTGATCGGAATGATCGTGGAAATAAAAACAAACCGGTTGGGAGTAGAAGATTCGAAGGGAAGATGGAAGGTGAAGCAGGTGGCTATAAGGGAACAAGAGTATGAAGAAAGAGAACATTTTTTTATTACATTAAGACCATGGTAGAAGAAGAGGTTGTACCAGTCTCTTTTGTACACATAATTCTGGTTTTTCAAAATGTATGGCTACTGCTTCGGCAATGCAAAGAAGATGCAATCTAATTGTCTTGGGAAGGCTTCTACTTACCTTGTAGATGACTTTGAACGCAGAGTCTGTCTTGATTGAGTGACCTGTGTTCACAAGGTGTTCAATTATAGAATTTCTTATTGAGCCGTTGCTTCCTCTTTTTAGCCACGCCGGACAATGTTCTTGAATTCTTTTGGATAAAATACGCATTGAACGACCTATATACCTAGCTACACAATAACAGGTAAACTGGTAAATGCACATTGAGTTGGCAAGATGTGATAATTTATCTTTCAGATTATTGGTGAACAGTGATCGGCTGGAGAATAATATCCGCAGTGTTGCTGCGAAGAATGTTCATTTTAAAGAATCCGAACTTCTCCCCTTTAAGATATATGCGGCTCTATCACCTTTGAAATCGATGTTCATGTATAAAATTTTCTTTGCGATTGTACAGATTTGAAAATGAATTCGCCGAAAAGAGAACTCTTCGCTGAACTAATCTTTCTTTCTTATTTAAAGTCATGCGTCTCATGGAGGATGCCTAAAAGCGTCACGGAATTGAAATTGAGGCTGAAAGTATATATTAAACAGCTCAGGAAACAATTCCGGTGCGGTCACGAACATCACCAACGTGGATGTTGAAGTCTGCTCATGTCGGGTAGGCATAGCGTGACTTTCTAGCTCACATCGGAGTTACATATCACACTTGACACCTAACCTGCCTTATGCTATCGTAATGGTGAGATGAAATGTCTTCCTTGTGGGATGTACAGAACAAATAGAATCCTTCTGAAACAACATCATTTGATGAGAACAAGTTAGAAAAGTACACTGCGGGACCTTTCCCACTTTTTTCTGGTCCAGGGTATTCAACTCACTAATCTGCATTAGTTATCCTTGATATTGGTGATGCTCGGTAAACTATTAAACTTTTGATGATCAGCTATTTAACATCAAAACTATTTAGCTTGACGCTAATTCTACATGTGCAGTTGGACTGTATGTAAAATCTGGATAAGCCGTGGAAACAAAATAAATTCGTACATGAGAAAAAAAATTATCCTTCGGCAACAGCACGAAACTGTCAACAAAAGTTCGCTGTTCAGTTTGAGTGTTACCAGAAAACTGATGTATATAGAGCTTAGTTAAATAATAAGTAAATAATACTATGTATACATCAGTACCCATCACTAAATATAAGGGATTCAAAGGTATGATCATGGTTGTTTAAAAGAAGCTGGAGTCTTGGCATTACCGTTAGTTGCGTGGCCATATCAAACATCAGGCTGGGGTTTGTTAACAACTTCAATAACAGAAAATATTCCCGTCATCCTACATGTATCAAGCATCATTCGCATTCAACTTTTTAAAGCGGCAGAGTTTCTTTTCATTCACGGAACGGAGCCTGAACTTCATGCTTAAAAGTAATCTGTCTTATCGTCGTCTTTTTCGTGATCTTAAACATCAATATTATCAATGCTTATTTCATTGTCATAGAATATGAAAATATTCCTCTTTCTTAATCGTCTCCTACATACCATTGATTTTATTCATGACTGTTCCGGATATCAGTACATTTTATTGAACCATTCTGATATCAATAGTAGTTACAACAAAACGTGTTAATTATTTTACTCTACCCATATTTCTATCCACAGTTAACTCATTAACTTTTACACTACTTTTATTCATACATACATAATCTTTTATTGTTACTGTTTACCCCCTGTAATGTAGTATTGTGATCTTTCCATTAATTCAGCGTGTCTATTTATTGTTCATATACTCTCGTAGAATTAAAGCTTGACATGCTTGTAAAATGATACTTGTAGAAATACTGGTTTCCAATAGAATGTGAAACACATAGCATCGTATGAGCCATCTTTTTTCTTGAAATGAACCTTAATGAGTCCAAATCACAAAAGGAGGGGGTGGAGTTACGGACCAGCAATCACTGATGGTAGGGGCGATAACTTCAATCTACCCCTGTTTGTGGGGCAGGATATTTTGTTCGTTTCAGGCTCTTAATGATTAAGGACAAGGAAACCGATCAGTGATACTGAGGTTATTATCCTTTGCTCGTTAATCAGACTCATGTTGAGTTCGCTATTCTGCCAAGAGAACATATCACATGCTAACACAAACTTTCAAGTTATGACCTTGTGGCTGGCACCACGTAAAAAAACTAAGAAGAACAACCACTTACATAAACAGAGATGGGTGATGGTCAGACGTGAAATTCAGAACGCGTACTTCGTTCCTTTTAGGATTCTTCAGCAGGATGTAGCTGCATTGCAGAGCGGCTGTTCACTCTAGGGCTCGAAACCAGTATCGATCTCTTCAAACGTCATCACATCGTTTACTTAGCCTCTGAATCCAGATAGTCACCATCTTGTGCATGGGGCGAAGTTTTGGTTCATTTTTGTACTGGTTGTTTTGAGTTTTCCGATTGATGGCTAGAACTGTAGTTGATTAGTCTCTCATCGGCACGTGTGCACCCCGAATGTGATGTTCACCTTGGGATGCAGGAACATTCTGCTGACGAGTCCCTAATAGGAGGAAACACGAGTCCTGAATTTCACTTCTAACCATCACCCATCTCTGTTTATAATCTTTGTGACTTGAGGCAATTTCGAGGCAACCCGCACGGGATGTACATGCGCCAAAAAGATTGATCAACTGAAGTCCTGAACATTATTAGGAAGACTGAAACAACCAATACAAAGATGAAATAAAAATCAAATTCATCGATATTAGCGTTTTTTAACATTACTCTCTTTTTATGTGCTTTGTATTCCACTAAGCAGCCTTCCTTATTTCAACTTTGACTTCCCTTCCATCATTTGAACCCATTCCACCTTGTTACATAACACAACTCATTGTTCTGTGTCACCATAATCTTTTATTGGAGGGCTGTAACCACACTTCACTTTAGCGACATAAGGTAGTACGAGTTTTACCTACCGATTCGTCATCCCTTATTCTGTTTCACCACAAACTGTTAATCGTAGTTTAGAGTTTATGCTCTAGTGCTTTGCTTCTCCTTTGTTTCTTTTTCACCAACATGCTTTCTTTGAAAAGCTATAGGGCTTCTTACGCCTGATACGATCTTAATGTTTACAAACAAATGTTACAAACTATAGATCATACCTGTAAAAATGGTGTATACCTGCTCTCGCAGAAAGATATTAATAATAACCAGAGCTTCATATGTACAGATAAATATATTTGTGATTGAACAGAATGATGTAGAATTCATCAAAATGAGATCTCTTTGCCGTATTTCATGTTTTTGATCCGTAATTCGTTCTATCATCTGAAAACTAGATGTCTAAATTAAAATTGGTTTTGCCAAACCAAAGCTACAAACAAATACTTATCTTCATAAATGAACGACTAAATTTGGTAACTGGCTTATGTTGCGGACTATTTATATTCCGAATTGTCCATATTTTCTAGAGTTTTTTTAGTATGAAAAACCCTTTATTACTCTATTGACTAACCTGAGGGAAGATGGGAGCAAAATCAATAAGTAGTGGCGGGCCAGACTAGGCATCCAATAAATTACGAAAGTTTGCTCAT